CTGGCTGTGATTGGTTGTTTTGACTCGTCCCGAATTATTCTTTCCAGATTGAAATACAGGCAGTAGGCGGTACCAATTGAAGCAGTTTTTTTCACAGGTTACATATCACATGTACTGCTGTCTGGGCATAGGGACAGTTTTAGCCAATATGACAAAAAAGTGATTTTTAAAAACTTACAGACTTCAGCTTTAATGTGAATGTATTCAAATTCGCTTTTATACACAAAAAAAAACTCATTTCCAAGGCATTAAACAGAAGATTTCAAAATAATTGAAACTTTTATCAGGCATATGGGTTTGTAAATATAATAGTTAATGGCTGGTAAATGTTTACTTCCTGCATTGGGTATTGGATTTTAACACAAACTTGCCAGCAACAGGAGCTCCTTAACCCTGAAGCAGCTGAGGCCAGTAAAGGCAGATTACATGCTGCCTTGTTAGAACAAATTTTTTAAAAAAATTATTTGATGTATTGTGAGAGTACTTTCAAATTTTAACCCAATCTCTAATCAAAAAGAGAGATCATATCTCTCCTATCCTGGCTTCTCTTCATTGGCTTCCTGGTAAATCCTGAATAGAATTTAAAATCCTCCTTCTCACATATAAAGCCTTAAATGGCCAAGCTCCATCTTATATCAGAGATCTGATTGTTCCTTATGTTCCTAACAGAGCACTTCGCTCTTAATCTGCAGGTTTACTAGTGGTTCCTAGAATTTCTAAAAAAAAAAAAATAGAATGAGAGGCAGATCTTTTAGTTATCAGGCTCCTCTCCTGTGGAACCAACTACTATTTTTAGTCTGCGAGGCAGACACCCTGTCTACTTTTAAGGCTAGGCTTAAAACTTTCCTTTTTGATAAAGCTTATAGTTAGAGTGGCACAGGTTATCCTGGGCTATAGTTATGCTGCTATAGGCTTAGACTTCTGGAGGACATAGGGACCCCCATTTCATCATTCTGCCTTATTCTATCTCTATTCTCCCACTCCGCAGAATCTGTTAGTTCAATCTCTAACATTATGCTCTCTCTGTTTTTTCTCATAGTAGTTTCACATCGTCTGTTCCTGTTTGGCTGTGACGCCATCCTAGAGAAATATCAGCTGTGCTGCTGCCATCAATACCCTTGTTTATAGATGTTATAGATCAGCCTGTTTTCCAGTGTAGTCCTGTTTCTCTGACTGTGACTGGCTGGATGTGCTCTCTTCATCCGCTGACATCGGAGCTGGCTCGGAGCTCGTCTGCCTAGCTGTGTGTTTCCTGTTCCGTCTTTACAGCTGCTTTTTGTATCTCTGCTTCTGTCTCCTTAAACCCTAGTTGGCCTCCGCAGATGGCCGCCCACACTGAGCCTGGTTCTGCTGGAGGTTTCTTCCTCTTAAAAGGGAGTTTTTCCTCTCCACTGTCGCTACCATGCTTAGTGTGAGGGATGTCAATGAGTTCATGGAATCAACTGGTTTTCCTTAGATAGAAAACATTGAATCAATTTGACTGTATGATCTGGTAAACTGTAAAGTGCCTTAAGATAAACTGAAATTGAATTTAGTTTAAATGAATAACTGATTTTTTGAAACAAGTCACAAGACTCAGAATATCGGGAGACCTCTGACATCTCCTCCCAGAGCGCATTTTATCTCTTGAGCTGATTTCTGAATCAGCTGGAAAACCACAAAACCTTGTCAAACCTGGCATAGATTGAGTTCTATCAGATTTTATCCATTAATGTGCTTTTTGGCATTGCATTCTTGACCTCTTTCTAACTAATTGTCTGTGAATTCTATGCCAGCTCTTTTTGTATGTTTTATATTGGATGTGTGCAAAAGGTGATTAGAAATTCGTCAAAAATATCCTACTAATCCATAACTTATTTATCATAGACCCATGTGGAAGTTTCATTATTATCAAAATATTAATCATCATACTTTTACAAATTTATTTATGTCCCAAGAATTGATTAACATTTTTTATTATTTTTTCTTAATCAACAAATGTAATCATTGCTGGAGATTTTAATACTGTAATTTACCGTAATATTGATCGCTCACACCCTCGAAATATTAAAAGAAACAAGAATTCCACTGAAATCCTAAAAACATACATGAAAAATGTTGGATGCAATTGGAGAAGTAACGCTTCATCTAGAGAATATGCTCACCTTTCCTCCATCCATCAATCCTCCTCCTGAAATGATTTTTCTCTTATTAGTACCTGACCTCACAGCACATAGGGGAGCAAAACCCACCCAATCATAAGAAGTGCTGTCCCATTCTCTCTTGCACTAAATATCAGTTCAAAAACTAAACACAGAGATAGTACTTTCACTCATCACTTCTTCAACATAACAACTTTGATATTTTTATTAAAAAATAGGAGAAATCTATCATCCCATCAACTGTGAATCCACCAGGAGATATAGTTCACCATCAACAAGACACCAATAAGTAACTGAAATCTTTTTGTAGTGATCTATATTTCATAAAATAAATTACAAATCAATCTGATCTTAAATTTCGTTTAGAAAAATAAAACTCCTCACAATGATAGAATTTAGAAAAGCATTAAAAAAATGTCCAACAATAAATAAATCACCAATAAAATATAAAACACCTAATGGAGTCCCAGAAGGATAGAACATTAGTTCTAATTCTCGATAAGTTGCAAAAGAAAATTTAATCAATCTCTCAAATATCCTCCCAAAATAAATACATGTAAATGTTTAGAGGCGAGACTCTTAAACATGTGATCATGAGTGCTATGGGTGCATTATAGTGATAAACACCTAAACATGCCATGCGCAATATTTATCACTTTCTGTGCAATATATCAGTAAGAGCAATACCAATGTAATATTAATCAAATCAGTGTAGTGTTAGTGAGTAAAATATAAATAATTAACTTTTTTGTTTCTTTTGTATAGTTATTGACTTGTTTGTCTGTACTATGATGTACTTTATGGTGTCTGTATCTGTCCATGTTTAGTGTGTTGTAAATACCTTATTTGTCTGTAACATTACTATGCATCAACCCATTTTTTCTCTAAATGAAAAATAAAAATACATATCCTCACAGATGAATACAGCTGCTATGACACTCTTAAAACCAGTCAAAAATCCTATCTATCCCTCCAACTGCCACCCACCTTCTTTAATCAACGTGGATTTAAAAATGATCGCCAAAGCACAGAATAGAAACAGCCTGACCAGACCGGGTTTATTAGAAACAGGAACATATCAGATAGCATTCACAGATTATTCAACCTCATAGAATTAACCTGAAAAAAAAACATACTAAAATTATTGTTTCATTAGATGCAGAAACAAGCACTGACTATAGTATACTATGCTCATCAATAAGGGCCATAAAAACTACTAATGGCATCACGTCACAGTTCAGCAGGGGACCAGACGAGGATGTCCACTCTCTCCCTTTTTGTTTGCCATCTTCATAAGACCGCTAGCAGCAGTAATCAAATAAAACAATAAATTTCAGCCTGTTTCACAACACACAATACCTTAATATGCAGATAATTTATCATTACATTTACAGGATCCTTATAATTATTAAAGACTTTTCCAAAATCACAAATTAAACTTTAAATTATATTATACCTCTTATAATAATTATACCTCTGCCTGAAAAAAAAGCTTAAGGCCAAAATAATGCCCTTCCACCACAGATTGGTGATATCAAATAATTAGGAATCGATACCGCCCCCAGGTTGTTTAATCTTAAATATACTCCTTTGATAGAGAGAATAGAAAAACTACCACTCTTACTTATCAGCCGAATATTAACGATCAAAATTAAAACACTACCACAAAATGATTACTTGCACTCAACTCTAATACCAACAGAAAGAAGGTTTAAATCATTTAATTCAATCATCGCCCAATTCCACTGGAAAAAAATAAAACAAAAAACACCACAACAGCAAACATTAGGCAGATTAGCAGCACTCAACTGTAAAGATTGTTGATCTGGGAGTTTCTACATGGCAGCACAGAGGAATCATTCGCCTTCACAATTTATTTTTAAAATACCAGTTTATCTCATTTGAAATGCTGTCCTGAATTTCTGAGCTGGAGAATTTTATATTAGGGACAAATAAATAACTATCTAACCTATACAAACTTGTTTACAAATTGGGACACTCCTGCCACACTCCAGGTAACCAAATTCTCAATTTCTTCCCCAAACTATGACTTTTAGATTAAAACCTGCCTTAATGTTTTATTTTCTTATAAACTGCAACACAAATTTACAACTAATTCAGTAGAAACCCTGTCACATCAATCAAGGAAATGTTTTGTGATTCAGAAACATGCACACAATACTCTATGGGTAACACTGATGATGTCCAAATCTACTTTGTATGCGTGTGGTCCTACTGAAGATAAATCCAAGAAACAGATTATAAAGGATGACTGATTCTAGTTGTAAAGCTCGTTCGTTCGTCCGTTATTAAAAATAGTAGGAAGTTAGCACTATTTCAAAGCATGGTCTGAATCTGCTTCTTTGGCCTTAAATAAACAAGAAATTATGTCTCAGATGTCACAGTGTACAGGCAATAAATATAAAGTTTACAGAAAAAAAAAAAAGAATTTTAATGTAGAATTAAGGACATTTGACTAGATTAAGTAAAAACCATCTTAAAAAGGTAGGAATTAATATATTCCAATTAAAAGAAATGTACCTCTCTATATAACTTATGTCTGAAATCAGAAATAATGCTTACAAATGTACTTTAAGCCACTGAGTAAAATCTGATCTGTAAAAATACTAATTGGTCCTCAAATTATTTCAACCTGTTTGGCTCAGAAATGTTAAATGAAAATTACTTCAGCTTCACTTTAATGGCGGGTTTGATTGCCAAAATCTAAAATGAAAAATCTCCCTTCACTTCTCTTGTGCTCCACACGAAGGAGCTGTTTAGCAAAAAGGTTGATCATTCATACTTCTGCTGAGCCTTGTTTATTTTGTAGTGAATAATGGGAAACAGAAAAGCTCACAGTTTCGATCCACACTTCATCGCTTTATTCTTCAGAATTCACAGGAAACAAACTCAACACCTTGTTACCAGATTTTGCAGGCAATATTACATTCCATACTGAAAAAAATGTGAGCCTCGTTATATACAGAAAGAGAAGCCGGTAGAGGACAGCGTCTAACATCCTGACTTAGTGTGCTTTGGACGTGTGGATTCAGAGTGGTGTTGTAGTCATCACAGCTTGATGCAAAAGTCTGCTTAAAACATCTCCCAATTTTATTCATTCTTACAAATGGCGGGGAAAAAAGAAAAACTTCATTTACAATGGGTAGTCAGTTAAAAACTTCAGTCATTAGGTACATCTCAGCCATAAAACCAGTAATATCAAAGTCTATACAACGTGCATTACTACAGAATTTTGAAACAGTGGAATCTAATGCAAGGTGGTGAGCACCAATTGTTTTTCAGCTAAATCTATTTCAGGAATGGTTTGTGTTCACAGGAGCATTGAGCTTAAAGAGTTGTAAACAACCGTACACTGCAAATGACAACTTTTAAGACTCACTTTAAGGACTTTCCTTTTAAATATCACATTATGTCAGATCTTGCAGAGACAGCTTGAGCTGCTACATCCAATTGCCCAGCACCAAATACTTTGATTAAATAGAACAGAAAAAACAAGTTCTGCAATGTCATGGTATTTCCCTTAAAAAATAAAATACAAAAAAAAAAAAAAATTCCACCCATGTTTTGCACTTTTACCCTCACCCATGTTATAAATGCAAGCAGTGAGGAAGCAGCCCTCTCTGCTGCACCTCCTATCTGTCACTGCTTGAAACTTTGCAGTTATGGATGAGATGGTTGCAGAGTAGTAAACATATACAAACAACAAAAAAGAAAAATTAACACAAAAAAAATTCCCTGGTTTTAGACAAGTCCTTGTGATCCTTCAGACAGGCTACATCGTCTTCTTCATTGCGGTGCATCGTTCAGCGGGGTTACTCTGTGGCGGCGGCCTCTGGACTGGCTGCCGCCTCTGGCTCGGATTTAGCCGGCTTCTCCTCTCCTTCGGCTACTTGATCCGCCTTTGGCTCCTCCGCCTTGGCCTCCTCAGTTGCAGTTTCCTTGGCCTCCTCTTCACTTCCATCAGAGGGCTTGGTCTCCTCTTTGGGGGCCTCAGGGGATTTCTCTGCTTCGGCCGGCTCTGCAGCCGCAGTCGCCCCTTCCTCGGTTGCCTCCTCAGATTCTTTCTTGGTCTTCTTGAAGGAAAAGCCACTGAGCTTGAAAGAGGGCTTCTTGAAGGAGAACCGCTTTTTCTTCTGTTTGCCATCCTCGCTGGTGGACGGAGTACCTTCCTCTGCCTTGGTGGTTGTCTCCCCATTTGTGGCGGACTGCTCCTTGTCCCCTTGGGCCTCAGCACCCTCTACTTTCTCACCTTCTTCTTTTGGCGCCTCTTCAGTAGGAGTGCTTCCATTGGCCTGTACATCAGCTTTGTTGGCATCCTCTGCAGCTGGAGAAGTATCCCCATTGGTCTTGGCATGCCCATTCTCCTAAAAGACAGTCACAAAAAAATAAGAAGAAGAAGAATTTTGTCCTCTGTATTCATCTCCTGAAAACCCCTCTAAATTATCAATATTGCTATAGTTAATTTAATTCTGAATTTAAGAGTTAATAAGTCCCACCAAAATTGCATAGATATCTGTTACTAGGAGAATGACGACACATCTCTGGTTTATAGGCTCAGGTTTTTAAACTGCAATAAAACTGGGACGCCACTAGAGGGCGTTCCGTCTGTGGAAAGGAATTTCAGATTTCTTTAAAAACAATAAATCTTCCTCAGCTACATAAATTCAAACCAATTATCGAAATTTTTGAAAATTCAACACATTTCAATCCAGTTAGTTTCAGAATTTCTTCATTCCAAAGGGTTTATATTGTAAAAAAAAAAAAAAAAAACGCGTTTTTTTCTGGAATCTGGCAACAAAGGCGTGGTACCGTTTTTTAAAATGGCCATGCTACTGTGAGAGGCGACAAAAAAAAAGCCTGCTACAAACAATTCTACCACAACAGAAAACATTTTCCTATTATGAATCTAACTAACCATAAATTATTAAGCTATTAAAATGTTTTGAACATTTAACTTGTAAATAAATACATTTAAAACGTAAAAAAACGCACCCGACAGAGGAGTTTTAGGACAATTAAAAGAGTCTTGTTGAAATTGGGGTTCTGAAAAGGCCTTGAAAAAATATAAATTGCATTTTGGAGAAATTGAAAGCATGTGGCCACTTTCCCTGAAAGCCGGGGAGAGCGTGGGGATGCGCCACGGGGAACATGGGGCGCGCCATTGACGCAACATATTGCTAAATTGAGACCAAATTCTGTGAAGGCAATTAAGAATTTATTAATTGGGGGGGGGAAAGAAAAAGCTTGTTTACCTGTCCATTAGTCTTCGATGCAACAGCCGCTCCTTCTGCGGGCTTCTCCACTGCGGCTTCGTCTTTTCCAGCGGTTTTGGAGATTTGCGCTCCCATGCTTTTGTTCCAACAAAGGAACCCACCGATCAAATGAATGAACAAAGACCGCAAGCTTCCTCCCGAAAAAAAAAATTCAAGGCTCGTCGATTTGCGCGAAAGTAAAGAGATAAGCGTGGAATAAAAAAATGACCGCAACGAGAGTAATGAGCACTTGGGGGGAAATGTAAGGAAGGCGCAAAAAGGAAAACGATTTTTTTATTTTTTTTTTCTCGCAGAGTTTGTAGATGGGGAGAAATTGGCCCCGCCGCAAATGAGATGCGGAGTACAACGCCCCAGTCCGCTGATGAATGGGCGCTGAGGCGATGACGACACAAGCCACGGGGTCTCCGCCAATCACGAGCCTGGAATGTAAAGCGGGGGAGATGGGGGAGGTCGCGTGGAGAAGAGGGACGTGGAGTGGGGTGGGGGGCGCGGACAATGGAAGAGACACAACAACATGGCCTACAACTTTGTGGATCCACAGGATGCAGGCAGATTGGATCGTTTCCACTGAGTTTTACTGAATTAAAAACATAACGAGGATACCGTTTTTAATGGTATATGGGAACAAACTGAGGAACCTTAAATATGAATTTTGGATTTCTTGTTTTTGTCCCCTTTTTTCCGATTTATTTTTCTCCAATTCATGGAAGAGGGTGGTTGGCCATATAATTGTGAAGAGCCCTTGTGTGGTTGTTTTAGTTTAATGCCATTTATTTGTTTTTATTCAGACATCAAACAATGATGTCATGGCTCTTTAAACTTTTGTTAGGTTAACTGAATTTTTTGCATCTGTGGGTATGCTTTAAAGCAAAATTGGTTTCCTTATCATGGAAAAATAAAAATGCATCATGATAATGGACCTCTAAATGTTTTTACCATTTTTAGATGTTTGATGATAAATAAAAATAAAAAAAATTAACTTTATTGATCTCACAATGGAGAAATTAACTCTCTGCATTTAACCCATCCCCTTCGGGGAGCAGTGGGCTGCTACTGTGCAGCACCCAGGGAGCAGTCAGTTATGAACTCACAGTCTCAGGATTCCAAGCCCTAAGTCCTAACCACTAGGCCGCCACTCCCCCTTTAATGTCCTGTTGTTCAATTATACTGGTATGAGTTACCATACTGTTCATGATGCGGACACAATGTGTTTTGGAAAAGCAGAGGACCTAATTGCAATTTTGGCTAAAGTTGACAAGGGAGTGGCATTATCCAAAGTTAAATAGACTTTTTATACACATGGACTGAAAGGCTATTTAGAAAGGAAGAAGCCATTACATAAAGCTTTATTCATATGATACCAGTGTTTAACATAAAATTGATGGCACAATGAGAATGAACATTATTTTGAAATGTTTAAGGAACATCTCAAGACACTAGCCTGGAAGTGAAAGCTTAAGTACAAACTGGTCTTTAGAATCAGCTGTAGTTTTGATGTAAATGAGCATCAAAAATACTAAAATTTGTATCATTGAAAACTCAAAAATTTGTCAAATTACTAAAATTACTCTAAATTAGTTATACCTAATCCATATATCTCTCCTGTTTTAAATTGGCCCTCCAGACTTTTGACTAAAGGTTAGGTGATGGCAAGATTTTCCAACCTGGAGGATTTAATCTGCAAATTAGAAGTAGTCAAAAGGTAAGAATGTATAAAAATCAAGTCAGAAAATACGTCAATCAGTTTAGCTAATAAAGGCTTTTCCAATGATCATACAAAACTGTACAAATATTTATCTATCTGCTTTTAATGTAATGTCAACAAAAAGGGAAGTTATTTTTAAAAGCCCTCTGTGCCATTTTAAATGCAAACAAACCTCTACATTTAGTCTCCGATCAGCTCATCTAACACACATCTTCTACTGTAATCAGAATGGAAGTTGTTGTTTCTGAATCAGAATCATTATAGTCCAATATGAAAACATCATTGTGTTTAGATCGTTTCAGCCTGTCTGCTGCCATATTATCAGGGCACCCTCCTGGCATATGCCCTTCTGAATAAACAGACCTCCCCTGTAACCATAAGCCCCTGTACCCATAACATCCCTGGTCGCTTCTCTTGCATAATAGTGTCTTGTCTGCTTGTTGCAGCTGGAGCATCCCAGTGACCCAGATATAATGAGACTTTATGGCTCTGCTGTCTGCTCCGCCAGCCTGCAGCACTCCAGCTCCACCAGCAGCAACAAATCATCTCTCTCTCTACCACTGAGCCACATCTCTATGGTTACCGGTCCAAAATGGCTGCGAGGTAGAAGCTGAGAGCAGGCTGACGCTGCGCTTTAGCAACTGTGACCTCTGGTTGTGAAGGAGCAGCGTGAAAGTGAAGTCGAGACTGCACAGCAAACACTCACAGCAGACTGAGGATTAGGGTGACTTCTTTCACACACCCCCGAGACCTCCTCTCTCATCATGCTAACTAGGCCATGTTCATTGTTGCTGTATTCTGATTACATGCAAAGCTGAAATTATGATGAGAAGCTTCAATTAATATTCAAACCTGCGGATAAAGGCAGCGGGGCATGGAGTGGTTTCAAACAACAACAAAAGATTAAACATTTAGTTCACTGAACTGAAGATTCTTAAATACAATGCTGGAAACCCAAGAAAGAAAAATGTTAAGCATATGCACTTTTCGGTTATTTCAAACCATGCAGCTGAGTTATTTCAGGGAACGTGTGCATATATATATAGTAAAAGAATAATAAATTTTTTCAGAGCCACATCTTTATAAAAGTTGAGCAGGATATTAACGCAAGAAAAAATGAAAAACAAAGCTAAAACCCTTATGGTGAAAATAAAGACAATGAATCTATTTAGGTAGTGTGTTTTTGAAATCCGAAAAATTAAAAAAAAAAAAGTTAAAAAAAAAACCTATCTACTGGAATTTGTTTCCAAGTTTGAAAGAACTTCGCTTCCAAGTTTGAAGGTAAATGTCTTAAAACTTGGAAACAAAATCCAGTAGATTTTGGGATTGACTATGACCTGGATGACAGAATCTTCACCAGCAATACCAAAACATCATCCTGCATTTAAAATTCTTACACTAAGTCACTTAATTGTATTTGTTTTGTATTATTTATCATTTTATTTTTAAAAAATAAATAAGAAATGCTCCAAAATGCAATATATGATGTTTTGTGGTACCTGACCAATAAAACACATCCAGTACATGCTATTCTAATTGAGGTCAAAGCAATGGACAATTCTTAGCTCCAACAAGCAAGGGGATTCCCAAAGAGCCAATTGGCTGGTAGCCTCAAGTCCTGTACCAGAATTTTTGCTGTTTTTCTTTATCATTTAGTAATAATGATATAATGATAAAATGATAATGAACCTTATTGATCTCACACTGGAGCAATTCACTCTCTGCCTTTAACCCTTCCCCTTGGATGTGGGGTTAAGGCACCCAGAGTGAAGGCTGTGGGGATCGACCCAGGTACTTGCAACCTTCTCAGAGCACAAGCGCACTACCAAAACCACTAGGCCAACATAAAAAGCTCAGTTTGGATATTTGTTGTTCGAGGGAACAAACTATCAACCCAACTGCATATTTCAGGAGGTATTGGCATGTAGCTATTTTATGTCCCATAAAGAACAACAGGCTTGAGATTTATTAATTCATACGAGGCATGTTCCCCTGTCTTCCCCATTTGGTAGAGTAGCTATGAGAAATGGAGCTCTAAGATTTATACCCTACTTATGTTGTGGATTGTTAAAGTCATAATTACTCTGATCACCTGGAATTGTTAATGTATAAATAAATAAAAAAGTTGTTTGTCTCTGTGTTGGGCTTTATTCCTTATCTAGCTTTCCTTGTCACTGCAAATGACTGTAGATTTAGGCAAGTTTAGGCACACAGTTTTTAAGTAGCCTTTCCCTGATGTATTAAGATTCACAAATATGGCATGGTCTCTTGCCTTTTTCATTTGAAGAGCAGTTAAACGCCAGAACACACTGTGCAAGTTCAAAATGAGTGCAGGCAGATCAGGCTCTGGGTACAGGACTTGAACATGTCACACTCTACAAGCTTAATAGCATTAATTCAGTATAATATGACTTCATGACTTGTTGCAGAAAAATTAAGTAAAAAAGAATTTAAAAAGATATCTCAGTCAACCAAGGATTAGAGTGCAGCTAATCGGACAACAAAAAGAGGACCAAAGGATGAAAAAAATTCAAAAACATTGCAGTCGGGGGGAAAAAACAGGACCAAAATCTGATGTGCAACAATTCTACTTAATAAAAATCTGACATATTTATATAATATTTGGCTCTTCTTAGGTCATCTGTGGTTTTGAGACTCCTGACCTTGCAGTCAGTGTAACTGTCACACCAAATGACCACAGACCAATAAGTCCCCCTCAGGACAAGAGATTTATTGATAAAAGACTGAATCAAAGCAACAGGATATAGCATTAGCATTAAGTTTTTTGCTCCTCAGCTCTGGAACCAACTCTCTGAAAAAATGAGATGAGTGAAACTTTTTGTTAACTTCAAATTTAGATTTAATATTAATGTTTGTTAAGTGCCAACAGCTGCCAGCAACCCCATTAAACTGGTCCTGGCCCGTGTTATGGCCCCTGTACTAAAAGCTTACAGTGCAAAATAATAAAAATGTTTTCATTCAAAAAATTTTCCATTGATTTAGGAAGGTAGATTTGATTTTCCAACGGAATAGGATGATTTATATTAAAAATAACAAGTAAAATTCTTTTAACTTATTTCAAGTGCATAATGACTGATGAGCAAAAATACTTATTACTTTTGCAGCTCATCATAAGTACCTGCTCAAATGAAGTGCTAATATGCTTATTTAAGTACGTTTTAAGACATTTAGAAGTTGCAGACAGCTTGAAGCTTCAGTTGTAATACAACAGGATCACAGTTTTTATCCGTTAGATCAGCAACCTTGGCTATGTGGCTCACTCAGTGGTGTCAAAAGTACACACATTTGTTACTGAAGTAGAAGTATAGATATTGCAGTTTAAAAACACTCTGGTAAAGGTTGAAGTATCAACTTGACCTCTTTACTAAAGTGAAAGTGAAAAAGTATGTGCTCCAAAAACTAATTAAAGAATAAAAGTATAAAAAAATTCGAAAAATTCTTTGAAATAGGGCCAAAGATAAGGGAGGTCCGATGGTCTCCATCTCCCGATACGCTCTCACCTGTTTCTGAACTTTCAGACATTTTCAACACCTTTTCTGAATCCGACATTGTAGCATGGCATAGACAATTCACGTTTACAGTTTGAAGAACACCTGCTTGCTTCTGA